TGATGTGGCCATTTAATGTTGCATTTCACTACTGAGTTGCTTAGTGATGGAACTTACATAATAGGCAGACATCTTAGCCATTAGGCCACAGGCTCTTATCCATTATCAGCGAAACCAGGGTGAAAGGTGGCCTAATGGCTAAGATGTCTGCCTATTATGTAAGTTCCATCACTAAGCAACTCAGTAGTGAAACGCAACATTACATGGCCACATCACCTAATGAAGGCAGCCTCAGAAGTCCTTATTACTGTTGCAATGCTAGGATTGCATGGGTCATTAAGCAAGAAGAGACAGAGATCCCAGGCAAACAAGCTGGTAGGTGAGAGCTCTGGGCGAGGGAGGTACCGCAGATGGGCGCTACAGAATGGTGGAGTGTCTGAGGGCCACTAAAGGCAGGTGCCAGAGTGCAGGTAAGTAAGCACCGGTGAGATTTTTGAGGTTGCTCTCTTACTAGAATTAACATTCAATTCTTAGGGAGGTTCAAGGTTGACTCAACATTTCATCCTTCCGAGGTGGGTAAAATGAGGATCCAGATTGTTGGGGGCAATATGCTGATGTTGTAATCTGCTCACAGAGGGCCGTAAAGCACTAGGGAACAATATAAAACCCTTAAGTGCTATTGCTCAACCTCAAAGTTGAAAAATCAAGTTCAGGGTTCAAAAGATTATATCTACCATGCAAAGGAGACTTGTAGCAGGATATTCAAGACCACTGTTTCTTCCACCCATATAGATTAATCATTTACTTACTTTTTAATTTCCAAAAGGCATAAACTCCAGTCAACAATTTGTTTTATCAGCTGGGCAGCTTACCTCTATCATATTTGCCATATAATGAACATGGCCAGCTAGTTCTGACAGTTCTTCATTTTCTTCTTTTAGACGAGCAATTTCACTAGTTTTTAATTCAATTTCTTGATGCAACTAGAGGAAAAAAAAAGATTTTAGATAATGCAAATTTCCAAAGCATGCTTCCTGTGACTTCTAAGAACATTACCTTTTCATTTTCTTGTAAAACCTCATGCAGGGCTTTCCTCCTCTCCTCAGCCAATTCTTTCCAATACTGGAATGAAGGATTGCCTGGGGGGGGAAAAAAACCCATAAGTAGGGATACTAAATCCAACATATAATTTATTGGAATTACTCTACCAGCATCAGATCTAAGTCACATAAAGCAGGGGTGATCCGCCACAGAAACTTTGCAACTTCAACTCCCAGAATTCCTAAGCCAGCCATATTGACTGAGGAATTCCAAGAGTTAAAAGTCCACAAGTCATAAAGTTACCAGAGTTGCCCACCAGATATAAAGTATTCTTTTAACAGGCATCGTATGAAACACTATGGCAGTAATGGCTAACCTTTTTCTCCTCGTGTGCCTAAATTGCGCGTGCATGCTCAACAGCTTGTGCCCACACCGATAATGCAATACACCCGCCCCATAGTGCATGAGCGCATGACCCCCCATGCATGCACATGTCCCACCCAACCCCATTTTGGGCCTAGCAGACCTCCCTGAAGCCTCCTGGAAAAAAAGGGTGTGGGGGGTGCCGCACTCCCCCAACCCCGCATGCATGTACAGCAGAGACCTGAAAATTAACTGGCCGGCGGGAGGCGTGCACACGTATACAGTGGAGCTGAGTTGGGCAATGACTCGCATGCCCGTAGAGGCCTCTGCATGCCACCTGTGGCACACATGCTATAGGTTGGACAGCACGGCACTATGGTATCAGTGTTCTTAAAAATCTACAGTCAATTCCAAAATGTTTAGCAATATCACGATTTAAAAAACAGCAACATATTCCTCATCGTATTGGCAGATAGGGAAAAACACCACCGCCACCCTCAGATTATTCCAGAGTTATCTTGAAGGCTGACCCAGCTGGAACCACAGGCTTGGCAGTTGGGTTAAAGTCTCATTAATTTACCTATCTTTTAATTTTCTTTCTATTCTACCTTGTAGCTCAAGTTAAACTCATTCATTGGGTTATATGACCATCTCAAACAAGAGAATGTCAAGAGAGTCTCTATTCAAGCTCAATTAAACTTATTTGCACTTGGGTCACAATCGCTCCAGTATCTGAGTGCCTTTATTTTTCTGTCTTATTCTTATTCATTCTTTACATGACTCTAAACAGGACTTTATTTCCGCTCCTCTTGTGGGAAGCCCAGTTCTAGGCTGTCTGAGACCAAGCAGCTATATGCCCCTACAAGGACACCTTTGCTCTACATGCTGCATGGATTGCCAGTGTGCTTATGGGTCAAATTCAAGCCCTACATGACATGGAGGCATGGTATCTGAGGGACCACCTGTTCCTGATTGTA